ATTCCAAGGAATGTTTAATAAAAACCCTGAGAAAATAATTTTACCTGAAATACCCAGATCATATATAACCAAAGATTAAACCAGCCGAAGCAGCAACAATGCAAGTGAAAAGGACCTTAGAAGTAAATTTTCCAGGATATTTTTTCCCGGAACTAGAAGGCATACCTCCATTAGCCATTTTCCCAAATTGAGAATGGCTTTACAGCTAGCAAAGTGGGAGATCAGTCAACAGAAAATGCAGAAGCATGAAAATGAGGAAATAAATGAATAATCAAAAGTAACCAAAGAATGAGATAAGAAGCAGCTTCTATATATATATATATATATATATATATATATATATATATATGTGAAAGGAGTCTACTCCTATACTTCTGCTTTTTTTGGATAATGGTAAAGAACGACTCTCTCTCTCTCTCTATATATATACGAAAGGAATCTACTCCTATACTTCTATCGTGTTCGGATAATGGTAAAGAACGACTCTATCTTCAAAAATCATGTAAATATCTTAACAGTTTTTTTTTTAAATTAAAAAATATATAAATATATATACACGTTGTGTTAGGTGTATTTTTTGTCCAAAGGGCATATTTATCATTTTTCTAATTAGAGAATATCAGCCTACAGTTAAGGGCATTTTGAATTTTTAGGTTGATTTGATATGTTATATTAACTTGATATATTTAATATCATATTAATTCGGTTACGTTACTATTATACTCTACAAACCTTTTATTTTTTATCTATAAATAAAAATATTCAGATATTTATTCACATTCTACTCATATATTCCTATTTTTATTTCCTTTCAATCTCTTTTATTCCAACTTTTGATTTGAGTGTTAGAACACGAATACAAAAAAAAAACTTTCTATACCTTTACTTTTAATTCCTCGTTTTTCTTTTTTGTGATTTCAGAGTTTTGATTTTCATCTCAAAGCTCGACACCAACACGTTAGAAAATTGAAATTTGAGTTTGATTCATTTATATGTTACACCCAATCCAATATATATATATGATAGATAAAACCGAATCATTAGTAGTAAAATTATGTAATTCACATTCAAAGAGTGAACTGAATAATTCCACGGCCTAACAAAACTATCTGAGAGTGTTTTCCATGAGTCAAAAATTTATCAAACCACAATGTCATAGGCTCATAGCTAATCTTACGTTTCAATTACCAATTTTTATTTGTCTTTTAAATTGTGATTGAGATTCAAATTAATTGAGTTCAATATTATTGAGCTAACAGCTTTTTGATCATTTACCGATTACAATTAATCTAAAAGTGCAAACCCAACGAATGATAATGTTTTATATTTGAAACTAATTAAATGCATGCTATAAATATGTAATAAATTAATAAATTTTACATATATTGCATTCACTTAATTACTTATAAATATCCGCATATTAGAATTTTTAAAATGTCAAATTTTTTAGGAATACGGCAGCCGAGAAGATGTTTTCTTATTTTTCTAATTAATGTTGAATGGATGATAACTGAAAATGAAGGTTAATTTGAAAAAAAAAAAAATCTTCTATTTATGCAAGTTATGGTTTCAAGTTCAAATATGTGTCTCTTTAAATTTACCTTTTTTTTTTTTTCTCTCTCTTTTCTTTTCCTCCTCCTTTTTACTTTTTTTAATCTAAAAACAAAATTTTGATCATTTCTTACCGTTTGATATTTTGGAACAGCATGTGGATGAATTGGAACCGAGATGGGCTTTAAAATTGTACGTTCCTGATTTGGTGTGGCCGAGTTTTTCAATCGTATGTTTCTATTTTGTCAATGTTTACGTCAGTAAAGGTTTGACAATTCAGTTTGTTTGAATTTGAACTACTATTTCATGATTCAGTAAAAATCAGCTGTGCCACTGTGTTCTGATTGAAAAAGGATCCAGTTCCCGTTATCTACTCCTTTGTCTTAGGAAATTATTAATGCATTTTAATTAAATCTAAAATTAATATATATTCAATTAATTTTTATTTTTTTATATAGGATTTGTGGATAAGGGAGGGAGGAGTTAGCTTGGTTCGAACCCAAGCCTTAATGGCTTTGCCATTGGATCAATAAGCGAAAAGCAATTAATTTTTTTTTTATTTACATTTTTGCTTAAGATTGTTGAAATTTCAGTCACAAATTAATTTCAATGTGAATTAGTCATTTCAACAAAGTAGTGGAATCCTATTGATAACTAATTAAGTTGTTGGCTGTTACAGTTCGAACAAGGAATGGAGGACAACGGGACTGAAATGGATGATTGGTTCAAGCTTATGTTCAGATCGACCACCCAAGAACAGATGCAGTTATTCATGACTACAGTTTGGGGCATCTGGGGAGAGAGGAATAAAGGATTGCATGGATGTGGTGAAGTTCATTAAAAAATACATTGACGAGTACAATGAAGCTCAGACACTGTCGCATGCAAACGGCTGAGAGACAAGAGGATGGACACCAACAGATTCAGGAAGGGTCAAAGTCAATTTTGATGGAGCATTTGACAACCAACTAAAAAGAGGAGGGGTGGGGGGTTGTAATCAGAGACTCTTCAGGTGGCTTTGTCGACCATGATAATGGCTGTAATGGACTCTTTCCAGGCGGAAGCAAGAGCGGCAGTTGCAGCGATCATGTTTGCAAATGAGATGGCTTGTCGCAAGGTGATACTGGAGGGAGATAGTTTTATTATTTACTTTTTCTTTTCTAAAAAAATTTTATAAAATAAAAAATCACAATTCAATAAAAATATATAAATTTAATAAATGATTGAAATGTAACATTAATTGTAATATAATTAGTTTATATAAAAGTAAAATGGAGTATTTTGTTTTATCTAAAAAATTACATATATATATGTATAATCTTTCAAACATATTATATTCTTTTTTTTTTTTTTTGAAAGACCAAAATATTTATTAAATATCAATAACAGGGATTACAAAACAAAGTAAGAGATGACATAAAGAGTCACAGCCAAGCAATTAGATGTTGATCTGATCTACTAACACTTTATAATTGCTTTGCAAGAGCATTTCTCATATGATTAGAATTTCAACTGGTGCATAACTGTATATCAATGAAACTTTCCCTTGGATGGAGCTTAAAAGATTGGAAATACAATGTTTTTTAAATCAAAAAGATTTTTTAATTTTTAATTTCGAAAATAAAAAAAATAAACCCGTCATTTTCAGACAGCAAATTACATGAGTGTGCGCAAAAATTAATCAACAGTAAAAATTTCCTTTACGCCTCATCTGCAATATTCTTTTTCACTTTTTTTTTCTCAATTTATAAAGTAGATATGATTTTAGAGGTACGAATCAACAAAAAGGGTTTTATATAGGTTCATCTGAATGGTTCATGAAAACCTCAAATCAATAATTGTAAAAGATATATACCTAAAAAATATTTAAGGATCTATTAAGGATTCCATGAAAATTATGTATTGAACAACGAAAAGTGGGCTCAAAGTTACTAAAACAGCAAAACCATGTGCGAAGATCAGACCAGACCTTATTAGTCAAAGACACTTCGTGGGCTTTCTCGTCTATATAGACTTGCATGGAACCAGACCAGACCTTGCTGGCCGAATTTCATCCAAGGGATATATACAAAATATGGGTTTAATTTGTAATTAACAATCATATCTGAAAAGAACAAAACATCTTTAAATTTTGTTTTGGAATTTCCATCTCTTTTTGGGGTTAAGGTTCAAACAACAAGAAATGGGACCTCCTTGTGAGTGCATTCATTTCATCTGATACAGAAAAGATTTTTGTCCCAAGCTTCAATTTGACCAGATGTGGCACTAATGGAAAACTTTTGTTTTCAATCTGTTCCTGGGAATGGAACTCTGGGTTTTGGCCACACTTAACCTAGCTAATTCATGAGATGGGACTTGGAATTTCATCAGATGCTAGTAGGTAAAACAGATCAATCAAATAGAAGCAAGAAAATCTCTACTGTCAGTCTTGTCGATTGATTAATTTATTTGATCGGAGGAACTATTGGTTTGGTTGGCGAGTCAAGAACCCTGTCAAATTCTTTTCTTCCTTCCTCTTTAGTCTTTGACAACTAAAGTAATTAAGCAATTGGAGAATTATTTCAACATGACCTATAAACATATAAAGGCAAAACGTGGATAAGGAGTTCTGTTTTGTCACACTATCAATTCAAAACCACAGTAAGCTCCTAACAGGACACAATACATGATTATTTAAATTGTTGACTACATGAGAAATTGCAATTAGTCAAAATACATACATATATATATATAAACCCTTTTGCTACTTCTATTTTCCAATTTGCAATATTAAGTCCGAGCGTGTGGGTCAATGAAAATTACTGGCTAGTAGACGTTTTTAACAAAAAAAATTTTTCCCAATTATTCATTGGATTGGTTTCTGACTTAAGCCTGGAATGAGAAGGTAGTTCAAACATGGCTTTTCCAATTTCCACGTAGGTATAATTAACCACTAGCTAGCTAGCTTAGTACCAAATGCGTTTACATTCAACATCAATATTCTCAGTCTCTCTAATTTCTTAAACTCTGCAATCCAAGAACTTTTGAGCTTGAACCAAATGGGGTTTTGGCCTATGGCGTCCAACTGCTGTTTTTTGTTAAACTCATACAGCCATACCTAACATATACAAACAAAATTAAGATAGCCAGCAAGTAGCAGAGGCTAAAAATCCACCAAGGCATTTATGCGTGTGTACTGTGCGCGTGACGCAACCAGGAGCCAAAGAAGAGTGAAGTTGATGGAGCATTATCCAAAGTGTATAACAGAAAACAACTAAGCAATAACGCGGATATAAACCCCAAAGTAATTTTTCATCAAAGAAGAAGGAAGAAAAACAACAGCATCAGACCCCAACTATCAGTGTCCACTTCAAACTCCAAAAAGACTTTAAACCCTAAAAAAAAAAAAAAAAAAACCCCACTGAAACACAACTGGCCCTGGGATACCACGATATGCCCCGCGGAATCCCCACGTTTTCGCCTTTTTTTTTTTATAGCACTGTACAAATTCAGCTTTCCATTAAATACCCATACCAATATCATAATATAGAGATAGTATATTGTTTTTCTCAGTATTGAACTCTTAATTTATCCTTGATCTCTAGCTTGTGCTATATATGGCTGACCCCAATAATCCCACCAACGTGCCTCAATTAGACCAACCTTCTCACCCACCCGTACCATCATCCTCAGACCACCTAAACATCCAAGTCCCACATCCCCTCATCACAACAAGTACTCACACGTGCGAGAACCCTTCTCCCACGTGTGACAAATTACCTCCTACTACTACTCCCAAAACCACTATGGCCTCAAGTTCCTCCGGGAAACACCCAATGTATCGTGGAATCAGGCGCCGGAGTGGAAAATGGGTGTCTGAAATCCGTGAACCACGCAAAACTACCCGTATATGGCTCGGTACGTACCCAACGCCGGAAATGGCTGCGGCTGCCTATGATGTGGCTGCCCTAGCCCTAAAAGGCAGCGAAGCTGTTGTTAACTTCCCTGCCTCTGTTGCTTCATACCCGCGCCCTGCTTCTACATCATCAGCTGATATACGAAAAGCAGCTGCAGCTGCTGCTTCACTAAAAAAGGCTGAAACCAAAAGTGCTGAGACTAATCTAGGAATAGGTCATCATCATCAGGCCAAAAATGAAGAAATGACAGAAGACTATGTGGATGAGGATGTCTTTTTGAACCTGCCTAATTTGCTGGTGGACATGGCTGAGGGATTGCTGGTGTCGCCGCCAAGAATAAGCTCGGCTCCATCCGATGACTCGCCAGAGAATTCCGATGGAGAAAGCTTGTGGAGCTATTAATTTGATCCATTTTTCCAATAATGCTGCTGGATATCCTATTTTTGGTCTTTTGATTTTCACAAAATGTGGGCTAGAACAAAGAGTCAAAGACATGAGTAGCAGGACTTGGCGGCATTCGATGCAGCTTTAAGCATAAACTTGTCTGCCTTTGAAAAAAAAAGAAATTAGATAATGCTAAATAACGACAAATATGGGAAACAAAAAAACAAGATTTCTATGAATATGATACAGTGATTTCCAACATGAAAAAATTTTGGATTTAAGCCGTTGATTAGGGTTCCAATATTTCTTTGCTTACCATTGCTGTTGTGATATATAGATAAAAAAAAATGTAATATATATTGGCTTGTTTTGTAACAGTACTAGTTTTTTTTAGATGTTCTTGCATCTTCTTGTTAGTTCTCTGCCTTTTTTATAGTATTTTTCCTCTTTCATATTCTTGTTTCAAGTTTTTTCTTTTTTGATTTGAACCATAGTCTTTAAGCAGATAGATCATTATCCAGGATATGAAATGTTAATTCTTGATTATGAGTTAGAAGCTAATTATCTGGTGATTTCTTCTTATATATATATGAGACCAGAATTTAGTCAGAACTCTCAATTTAAACATTCATGAAATTGTAATAAGAATATGAAGGGGAGAAAAAAAGATAGTATTACTATCTTTTCAGTATACCCACCAGCCTATAACAAAAGGGGGGAAAATTGTTTCATATACTATGATATACTCAATAAATACTTGATTATACGCATGCTAGCTGCTATAAGTTTTGAAATCCAAACTTCTATGCTAAAATCAAGCATTTCCCTCTCATTTTAAGCAAAGTTGACATGAAGATGATGTTTCTTTAATCATGTTAGTCACTAGCTATGATGCATAAATTTTGTGACTTATTGGAATTCGAGAAATTATGAGTCAAAACGTTAAGGGAAGGGGGGGGGGGACCTATTGCACTGTGTTCTTGTCAATATCCGTTTGAAGAAAGATTGAAAGGGAAGAATTGGATTTGAGTAATCAGAATAGAGCTTAAGATCGATGTCTATTTGATTAAACAGTTTCACTGTTGAATTGTCGGGGGGCCCTTATTATGAACTATGAACTGGGGTCTCAACTTTACTAGTTGTAAATTTTTTATTATGTTCATTGTTCACAATAACCATATAACACATAATTAGGATTAAAGAGGGCAATGGATTGTGTCTGCCTTGTTGTTTGACTCTTATTCGAACCTATGGGTTTAGAGAACGATTTAGATTGTAAAGTTACATTCCAATAAGAAAATTTACAATATTTTATTTTTTCCGTACATATATAGTAATTTTTTAATATAAAAGTGATCGTTATGATTCAGATGAGAGATTTTTATTAAAATTTCGAGTCACTTACTTTAACCACTAAAACTGATTAGAATGATTTATGTTAAATTATGATTTTAATTTTAAATTTTGAATAAATTAAAAAGGTTGGAGAAAAGCTAATTTCAATAAAGGATTTAAGTTTGGAAATCTCAATGGGTTTGGGATCCCAATTCTCCCTTTGACTCATATTCTGTCCCTTGACTTTTCCTATAGAATTACTTGATTCATGATGTGCTAAGTTTTTAATAATTGTGTTTAGAACAGGATCAACAAATTGGTATACCATTTGTAAAAGCACAAAAAAAAAAAAAAAAAAAACCTATGACTATATGTTTCTCTATGATCTCAAGTCTTGTTATATAACTCAGTTTGGTGTTAGTTTCTTGACCAACTATATGTCAGTTTAATTTCTAAAGTTGTAAGTTGATTTCTTGTTTTCCTAACTACATAATATATAGGTGTCATATTAAAATGCTCAAATTATATAATTGTTATATATATGTAAGAAGACATCAAAAGAGAAAAAAATTCCTTGATTTAGAGAGAAATTATTGTAAATTTTTTCATCGAGATAGAGTCCTAGAAGTTTTATTCATCTTCTAACTGTATAATCAATATTTTTTTTGTCAAGGTGTATGATTTCTTGTTTTGTTAAGATTGTGCAAGATATATGAAAAATATATAGTTACCAGAATCCTAATTATCAGTGTCTTCATCAATACTTAGAGTGCCAAATTAAAAAAAAATAATAAAAGAATGGAGATGTAGATCAATAAGAATTTCCTTGTAGGCCACTCATCTAATTAATACTACAATTTATATCAGCAAAAACAATTAATTGCAAATTTCTAATAAGAGATTTGGTACATTAATACGAGTATGATGATCACATGCACCCCAACTATAGTAAAAGATTAAGAGACATGGATTTAAATATATTGAAGCTAAGTCTCACATTATCAAAACATAATTAAAGTGTATAAGAATGGAAGTTTCACTCCCACCCCAATTGGAATGATTTTTTTCACAAAAAAAAAAAAAAAAAAAGTTAATTATGGCCAACAATAGATGATGGTGGTGGGTTTAGGGCGTCCAACTTGGGTATCTTAAAATATATATCATGTGCATAGGTATTTCTATTAATTAGTCATACTTATATTCATGTAGGAGAATATTATTTAAACAGTAGCAAAAAAAAATTTTAATATATGATTAATATTAAAATATTAATTAACATGTCCATATAAAAATGATTAAAATTAAAAAGACAAAAGAAAAAAGAAAGAAATTTTGATGAGATTCTAAAAAAATTTATACAGGAAAAGATATAATGATGGTGAGTCATTAAGCCGTTTCATTGTCACCTGTGTATGTACACGTATTGATTTTTTCTTTCTTATTAAAACCAAATCCGATTTCTTATATCATCCTCTAACTACATATATCAAATAGGGCCTACATGACTTTTTCTCCTCTTTAAGGAGACAAACATCTAATGAAATATCTAGTGGGTCCTTTAATGCTATGTGCAAGCACTCACAACAATGTCAAAATGCAATTTATGAACCGATAACAAGCAATTTTATTATGTTTAATTTTAGTGCTTACCAGTTACCACCCCATTTTGAGAATTATCTCTACTCAACTCATTGCAAGAAAATAAAACTGATCCTCCATTGCTCCTATCAGATATGATTTCTTATTGGTTTTTGATAGTCTTCAATGAATAATTTTGGAGAAGGAATTGCCCAAAGGTGGCTTGAAGTCGGCCAAGAAAATCCACATCCTTTAGAGCTGCCTTCAATATTGAAAAGAGGGTGCTAGATTTTGATGGTACCTTTAAATCTAGTAATAAAATCAAAAGAAAAAAAATAATAAAGGAATACATTTGTGGGGTATTGTCTACGGTCTAACATGTTGTAGCCGAAATTTTTTTTCATTGAATGAACGAAAAGAGTTTGACTATAAATGGCCGACATAGCCACCTTTTTTTGCTTTTTCTTTCCCTTCGCTTTCTCCCTCTTGGTTGGTAATATGTCTTTCTCTATATCCCTATCTCTATCTTTCCGCTATTCAATATGATTATGATATTAATTCGCGCCTGTACATACATATATATTTTTTTAAAATATTTTCAAAATTACTTAAAATATCAATTTAAAATTTAATTCAATTAATTAACATAATTATTTTTTAAAAATAATATTTAATAATTTTAAATTTTAAATTTCAATACTTAAAATCACGTGTCTTATTTTAAATTGGGACATCTTCCATAAAAAAAAATATTCATCCGAAGTGAAACTGACATCTGAAATAAACCTTTTGAGGGGCCAAAATACAAGGCCTAACAAAACCAAAAATGAATGATGTTTAATGAGCACTACAAATTTGCATACAGCTGATCAACGAATGGAACAACTGCCGACCTCTCTATATTCCTTTTATCTCTATTTCCTTCAGTTTCATTCATTTTTCCTTTACATATTCAGTTATTAAACTAGAACTTTGAGGTTAACTTAGGTATAATTACTATCAAAAGATTATCAAAATTCAGCTAACAATTTTTTATGCTTCAGAAACTTTTTTCTCTCCTTTTGAAGCATGTTTTGTTGAATTAACCTGTACTGCTTCAATTAAGCAGGGTAAGAAACATTGCAAGTATTATTATATCTTAGAAATTACTTCAATGGAACCTCTCATTAGCACAGTTTTTAAGGTTTAGAAAGTTGCATTTCTTTACTTTTTTTTTTCTTTTGCTGAAATTAAATAAATTGAACTCTCTTCTTTTTGTGATGGAGATATAGTTTGCACTTTATTATCATAAGTAATATTCCATTTTAAGCAAGTTTCAAGGTGCTACCTCCACCCCACCAATAATTAACAATGACAATCGTTTGGATCATATTGAATTTGCATGGTTTGGTTTTTTAGATATTATATAATATTATAAATTTTTAAATTTTAATTTAATTCAAACAAATTCATCATTTAATTTGATCCAAATCAAACCAAATTTTACTTGATTTCATTCAGTTTATTGATTTTTAAAATTTATTTTTTATATATATATTATTTTAATATAAAATTTTCATATATTTAAATAGATTTTGATATAAAATTATTATTTTTGTTTTATAAAAATTTAAAATATATATATAAATTAATAAAAATATATAATTTGATTTAATTCAATTTTTTTTATTTTTTAATTTGAACTTAATATATATAATTAATATTGAACTTAATTTGAATTAAATTTAAAAAAAAAAATGAACCAAATCAAACCAAACCAAATACTACGATTTCAAATCAATTTTTAGTTTTCTCAATTTTATCTTACCCCTACTACCAACAGTAAAAAAATGGACACTAATTTTAACCATTCATCAGTTCAGTTTCACATCTCATTTTTTAATTTTAAATTATACAAAATTATTACCTTTATCTAAAGTTCATCGACAGTATAATTCTAAATGCAAAGTGAGATAATTAATAAATAAAACACGATAATATAAAATATTATCTTAAAAAAGTCGGATAATTATTTAAAATAAATACGTACTATCGATTACTGTATGCTAAAGGTGCATTTAACTTAGATATGTTTAGTACCCAAAACATCAATCTATGAAGAGGGAACAAGCATCCAATGTGGCTGACAAAATATTGTTTCTCTTTTATGTTAGTCTTTTCTCTTTATATAAAGAAATCCATCTTTTTTTTTTTTCTTTAGGTAAAGAAATACCCTCTCTTGTTCTCACGGCCCCCCCTTGCAATGCAATAGGATGGCCTAAAACTCACGTTTAGTGGCCCAGAAAAGATGTGTCTCCCAGATGATCCCAATCATTATGTCCTTTTGGTTTGTTAGTTATTATGATTTCTTTCTTTTATTTTTTCTTCTATCTGAGCATCAATTATCAATGTTCATTGGCCTTTGAGTTGATTCTTAACTTTAATTGATTGATTCTTACAGTAAACTGTGTTGTCTGGGGCAAGGATATTAAAATATGAATTTTTATCTATATCAAACACTGCATAATCTCAGTGCAAAACTCCTTGAACCAATCTGCATCATGAATGCATATGTCTTAATCGAACATTTTTAATTGGCATTTGTTTAAAAGGGTTTATATTTTATCTATATCCCCTGGTGAAGATCACTTTTAAAGGAAAATGAGGCTCCTCGAACCTCAATTTTTGCAAGAGGTTTGTCCACTTTCGGTGGTGGGTGAACAAGAATATCAATGTCAAGCTCTAAATCTAGCTATGTCTATCTATGTCTCTTACATAATAATTTATTCTCTTGGAAAAATCCATGAACATGGTCTTGTCCAAAGTTTGTCCTACAAAATTTTGAAGCTAGCATTCACGCAGACTCTTGCATGCGATTCTTTGTCCTCCCGAAGGACTTTGCTAACTTGCCTACGCCAAGTCTCATTCTCATCTTCATATATATGGATTGCCAAAAAATAATAATAATAATAATAAAAGAAAAGATCAGCAGATAATGAGATCCCTTGTTTTCTTACCACGATTACGTGTTTGGACTTTGAGGTACCTGATTAGAGATATTGAGCTTAAGAAAGCTCTGACCTTTAATTTTACGGTTTTGTCTTACAAAGATGTCTTATAAGGAAAAGATGATGTAAACTTTTTTATATTTCAGTGACATTTCTTTTATGTTCGATGTGAGATTCAGAACTCGCATCTTATAAGGAAGAGATGGTCTAAACCTTTTTATATCTCATGACCTTCCTTTTATGTCTGATGTGAGATTCAGAACTCCTCCTTAAGTCCGTGACATTCTTCCCCATCCAACCTTGTGACGCCCTCATCACGAAGGCTTGTCACCCTACTTACCTCCCTCGAGGGGCTTGGTGTAGATCAAACAGTTTAGGGTTGACTCTGATATTATTTATCAGAGGTCGAGACTTAAGCTCCAAAACTAAACCGTTATGGCAAAGAAAAGTTTGATTCATATGGAGAAGAAGAGGCAAATATTGAAACAAAAATATCATTTGATTCGTCGATCCTTAAAAAAAGAAATAAGCAAAGTTTCGTCGTTGAGTGAGAAATGGAAAATTCATGGAAAGTTACAATCCTCACCGTGAAATAGTGCACTTACACGTCTTCATCAACGTTGCTTTTCGATCAAAAGCCCTACCTACTTCCCTCGAGGGGCTTGGCGTAGATCAAACAGTTTAGGGTTGGTTCTGATACCACTTGTCAGAGATCGAGACTTAAGCTCCAAACCCGCGCGGCTTCGAGACCCGGGCATCCACTCATTCGGTGACCCAGATCAACCTGACCGTCACAGTTCACACCTTTATAAGGTATTGTCAGTTTTGATCTCTCTAACCTCACGATTTTATCTTACAAAAAATACCTCATAAATAAAAGATGGTATGAACCTTTTTTATACCCCAATAACCTTCTTTTTATGTCCGATGTGGGATTCAGGACTCCTCTTTAGATTTGTAACATTAGTACCTAACTAAAGATCAAGTGTTGACTGATACGTAAACTAGTAGGATATATTATTCTAAAATTAACCCATCTTTCATTTTCTTTTTAATAATGTTTTAAAAAATTCAATGCTAGAGAAAGGAGAAAATTAAACATTAATTGGAAGTCAAGTCCTCGGCAACATTCATTGCTCAAAAATCTCTACCATATTATTGCCGACCCTTTCCATTTCAGTTTTCTACCGACACATAAATATTCTAAATAAGTTTAAGTCAGAACATAAATTTAATAAAATATTAAACTCTTAATTTCAATGATTTTAATTCGATTTTTAACAATCTCAATTACAAAAAAAAAAAAGAAACACAAACTTTTTCTCCAAGATTAGGCTTGCGAATATTTTAGTATTACATTTAAAAACATATGATCCATATCATTACAAGTAGTTACAAGGTGAGATTTGTATGTATGTATACATTTAATCTGAAATAAATATGTAGCAGTAAGAATGATATTTGAAGTAACCAATACGACAGGTTGAGTAGTATAATGAAACTTCTTAAATAAAAAATCAAAAGTTTCAAGTTTTAATGTGGCTGTGTCCTAAACTGTAGACTTCCACGTGAAGTGTTAAGGATAAATTTTGAACTTCCTGAGCCCAGTTCCAATATTATTATAGAAAACTGGTCCGAGTAATAAATTTAATCCATCTGGAGCTATGGACTTTGAAAAGTTGAGGATAAACAAAGATATGGGCTCCTTTTGCCAACTAGTCCTAAAACCTTTTGGGCTTACAATTACAGTCTTTTCTTTTAAGTTTGGGCTGGGTTGATTATAATTTCTGACCTGATGAACAATAAATAAGGGAAGACATATTGCCACCTCTCTGAACGCCCAAATATGATTCATTCCATCTAATCAAATCCAGACAGAACATAAACCAGGTTTAAGTCTATGATTGGATTGGGGGAAGACAAGGGTAAAAATGGAAACAAAAGTAAATGATTTCTCATTTCCTTTGTTTGTACATAATATAAATTAAAATAAAAGAAAAAAATGATATGCTTAACTCTTTTTCATTAAGAAAATAATAAATTTTTTAAAACATAAAATAATTATTATATTTTTATTTATTTTTTTAAAATTTAAAGTGTGTGATTTTAAATTTCAAATTTAAATTAAGAATACAAAATATCATTTATTAGTGAATAAATTGTTTTCAATTTTTTTTACTTAATACTCTATAAATTTCGTTAATGATTATTTTTATGAATAAATAAGAGAAAATTGAAAACATAAAATACATGAACACAAACATGTTATAAGAAAAAATTATAATTGAAAAATATAATGTAATAAATTTTTTTTCATTAGTTATTCAAATAATAATTTTTAAAATTTATTTTTTTATTAATTTAACTATCTAAATACATATATCTTAAAAAAAACGTTTTTTTAAATAATATTTATTCATACATTGCGCATAGCATTTTGATTAGCTGTTAACCACAATTAATTTTGATCATCCAACAATTATCACTGTGGGTAGTCGTCATTTACACCTCATTGAGTAACGTCGGTAGATTGGCGTCACCCTTCGTCCTTCTTCGTTACAGCCTTTTGTAAGTGGTTGGTTATGTCGGACAGATCATATTTTTTTTTATTGGTTGGGTTGTGTCGAACAGACAAGATATTTTGTTTATAAGCACTTTCTTGATTTGGACTACTAAGGACTGTTTAACGTAAGATTAACAACCAGAATCACATCAGTGGTGTATGTGTGGCTTCTACTATTTTTTTTTCCCACCATTTCTCCTTTACAGATTATGATTTATGGACAATACAACGACTGACCACGACCTTTTTTATTTTAATTTTTTAAAAACCCGTTAATGCTTCTAAGTTTTTTGTAATTATGGTAAGCCTCTTTTTCCTTCAATTTAGAATTTTTTGATTCGAAATTTTAGAAAAGAAGTCGATTCTTAAAACAAGAAAAGAAAAAATATATATATATACACTTATTTAATATAGATATATTTCACACACTGTTTTAAAATTTTATTATAATTTATAATAATTTTAGTATTTTTCATTTAAGTTTTTTAAATTGAGTATTTAAAATGAGTTTATGATATAAGTGCATGTAGTACTGTTTGAAACAAAAAAAGAATTGCCTTTTATACTAGTTAGGAGAAGCATTTCATCAAAATTTTCTTCATTACAATAAAAATTATATAAGAATATATAATTTAAAAATATATAATTTACATAATTTTTACAATAAAGGGAGGCATGGAAGGATAATAGATCCGAAATGGGTCTTAACTTTAAGAAAAAAAAAGAAGCATGATAGATCTCATTGTCGGGTGATATGCGGACGGATAATCTTTTGGGCTCAAAAGCCCAAATCCATGACATACCCAAGGCAAGGTAAGCATTAGGATGAGAATTATTCTGAATTCTCACGTGATCAACGTGGAATAAAAGGGTGAAAAATAAATTATATAATACTACTAGAGAGTATTTTAAAGGGATTTAATATCCACGTTGCCAAACTAACTTTGATATTTAATGTTGTTGTCACTTGTCAACTATAGTATATGAATGGCAATTAAATATTTAAACTAATAATCAATTTGATTTGCTCTTGACCAATCGCAAGAATTTTTTGTAATCATAAACAAAATTTACAAATTAAATTTTTAAATGAATAATAATTGAAGAATCTTTCAAAAATTAATCGTTCATTCAAATAATATAGATATCTCCATAATTGCATAAAAAAATTTAAATCAAAATCAAAATAAAAGTAATACTAATTATTTTTTAATAGCTCACATTGTATTATGAGCACAGATTTTGCCATTAGAAAAAAAATTAAAATGTGTGAGTATTAATTATTAAAATTATCATTATCTTAAATTAATATGTTTTGTCACTGACCAAAAAAAATTACTTGCTAATAATTTTTCAAAGATTTGTAAATTTAGTTTACTTACCTTAATTAATATTTGAAAACATTATATAATAAATTGAACATGAAGTCAAAGTTTAAAATCTTAAAATCATTTTTGATGACCAAACAAGACCAATTTGTAGTGGACAAAGGAAGCATTGAATTTTGAGGATAGAGCTCAGAAATTGCTCCCTTTAGATCAGAACACAAAACATTTTTCCTTAATCCACACTTTTTCAGAATAGAAAGAAAAATAAACGTGACAAATTTTCACTTCTCCCGTCAGCACGTTGTAAACTTGCAAGCTTAGCTGGATACGAAATGCGAAAAGACGAAAAAACCAACACCTGCCGCTTGGATTTGGATTAGACTTTTCTTTTTCAATCCCACTTTACTTATCCTATGTGGGAACCGTGGATCTTCGCAGCTGGTTCTCTATCATATGCGCGTGCGTGTGGAAAACGCACTCATCTGTCCCGCCTGGTCCTCCTAGAAATCTATATATATCCCGCTCCCCACTGTCTTCTTCTGAAGCTTCCGAATCCAAGTCGGTAGCTTTATCTTCAACTTCTAAACTGTACCCAGAAATCAGAATCTCAAAACAGTTTAAAACAATTCACTGCTCTCTTGGATGCTTAATATCCGAACCAAAAGAAGGTTACCAAAGTCAGCCCATATCGTACGTTCCCAAAAGTTGAAACTGAAGTAAGTAAAACACACAACTCCAAAACTACGGTTTGGGAAATTTTACTACTCATTTCAATATATATTTCAAGCCAATTCTCTGACCTTTTCTCCTTCAAGTCTTACTGTATGTCAGCTGATAGGGTGGAGCCATCATCATCATCTGAAGCGGGGACCGGGCGCCGAGCTGTTCACTCTGATGAGGAAGTATATTTACTAGCAACGAGCAGGCCTAAGAAACGTGCCGGGAGGAGAATATTCAAGGAGACACGACATCCGATTTTCAGAGGCATTCGAAGAAGGAATAAAGATAAGTGGGTATGTGAATTGCGGGAGCCTAATAAAAAAACTCGCATTTGGCTTGGTACTTATCCCACCCCAGAAATGGCTGCACGGGCACATGATGTAGCAGCATTAGCATTTAGAGGCAAAGCTGCCTGCCTTAATTTTGCTGACTCTGCTTGGAGGTTGCCTGTGCCAGCTTCAATGGATGCAGTTGAAATTAGGAAAGCAGCTGCTGAGGCAGCAGAATCATTCAGGCCTCAAGAATTGGAGGAAATTTCAAGAAGCGACGCGAGGCAGGAAAGTGTCAAGAATTCTGATGGTGAAGTTTCCAGCAGTGACGTTAACTTTGAGAACAAGGAAAATACAGTGGCAGAAAATGTGTTTTCGACAGAGAAAGTTCACTTCGTAGATGAAGAAGCAATGTTTGACATGCCAAAGTTGCTTGTCAGCATGGCTGAAGGTCTTCTACTTTCTCCACCTAGGAATTGGGATGATGCTGATAGTGATATCGATGTGTCTTTGTGGAGTTATTCGATTTGATTTGTTGGGATTCAGTGTACATTTACCGCAAGTTTTGTAATATGATGATTTATTAAGGTTTTAGTTATAGACATAGAAATGGTATTGTAAAAGGATGCTGAAAATTTGAAATCAAGGGCATGTAAGATAAACGATTTCTACTAGCTTTTTTTGTTTCATTATATCATATCCTCTGTTTCGAACGAATCAAAGCACAAATTCTAGAAAACTTTATTTTGTTGGTATTCAATTATTAATTCTTGGAATTCAATCAAAGATCATTCCTAGGAACGTGTAACATATAGGCATACATAGGTTGGAATCATCAACTCAAATTCTTCTTTTGCATCGAATATAAGGAAAACAACATGGAACTGGTTTCCTTTTGTTTGTTAGCCTTTTTGGCTTATAACGTCTTTGATTGAGTCTGGGTATACAATATTTTCTATCCAAAATTGATGTTCCAATTGAAAGTGAAAGCCCTTGGGAAACTAAAGGGTATCACTCTCGTTACTGAACATTTGAAAGTTGAAACCCATTTCTTAATTTTAAGCATAAATTAAGGTACGTCTTAGCTAAGAACTGTATTTTTCAAATCTATCAATATATGAGCAAGTGTTTAGTCACAAGTAAAAATGTTAATCCTTATCTGATTTGGGCATGAAGATAAGTGGAAAGTGGCCTTTTTCAAATTTGATCTATTTAATTTCACTTTGATTTAGCAAAGATAATTGCAATATCATTGTCAAGGTAGAATGGTTGATTAGTAGCATTCAGATAATCAGGGCTGGATAAGTCAATTCTTAAATTTGATTGGTCTTATTTGAGTGCAAAGTGTATTTTTATATTTATAAAAAAAATGTAATTTAAGAATAGAGAAAATTATAAATGTTGATATGAATTTAAATTTCAAATTTATTAAATGTAAAATCTTAGACATCGAGTACAAAGTGTTTTAATTGTACTAACATATAACCTTCAAGGAATAACAACTGTGTCAACCACTTAAATCAAAATGCAAATTTCAAACTACTATGGTGTCACAACTTTCCGTTAAAAGAACACCTAAAGATTGACCTAAACCGGGAGGAAAATGCCGAACTTGTTAACCTAAAGTCAACCTATTGAAAGCTAATAGTTGTGACTCTGTAAGTTGCAAGCTAGCCCTGCTAGAGGCAAGGGATGTGTTCTAAAATAAAAAATAAAATTTTCATTCACAAAGATTAACCTTGCTTTGGGCACAGTCATAGTTCTGTCTGTATGCTACAAATGACCCATTAGTTGTTGTGCAGTTGTATATCGTTTCAGCCACTTGTTTCCAATAGTTGTGCGTTAAATCAAAAAGAAAGCATCTAGCAGGTGCTTCATGGGACTTGGAATTGGTCGTGTAGATTTCATGCCAGGAAAGCTCCGGTACTTGAAATCATACCTGATGAAATTCCACTAGCTTCGTATTTTCTATAGTTTTGATGATGACATAGGAGTGATTCTGACATCTGAAAGTCAAATGACTAGGCAAAGCTATCTGCAATGACCCCACTGGCAGCTATAGCTAGCAAGTGGGTGAAGCAAGGGATGCCACGTGTTTAAATTTTGTACACACACATCCATGATCATCGAATGTTTGTTGGCGTAGAAGCGCGTGCGTAAGACAATCTGGAAACATATGCAATGGCCATGACCTTGTATACGAAAGTGCGCCTATATGAATGCAACCAGCTGACCATGACCAATTCTTCGCCTTATCCTGTTTGGATATGTTGTAGCATAGATATGTTTCTAGCCAAAGTTTTAAACACCATCGGTCACTTTTACTTAAGAAATTCAGACCAAAATCAGTGGCAATTGACTACGCAACAATAAGAAAATGAACAATATCGGAAATCAAATGAAGTACTTAACTGCTTATGTAATCGATCTCAATGTCACTGCAAACGAAAAAAAATGGTGGTTGCACGTAAAGGTGCTTATGGGTTTTAAAATTCGATTTAAATTAAAAAAATAAATTATAAATTTATTCATTAAAATTAATTTATATAATAAAATTTTTAAAAAATTTTAATTAAATTATATTTAATTCACATATATATATAAAAATAAAAAATAAATAATTTTATTTTTAATTTATATATATAAAAATTAATTTAACAATCAAACTCATGCTTTAGAGACAACCTACTCAAGTAAAGAGTCGCCATCAGAGCTCTAAAAATAGAGTTCCATGACGGCAAGCCAAGAAAGATGAGACTTTGAGAGCCGACCAGATACCTTGCAAAAAAAAAAAAAAAGTTTAAAAAAAAAAAGTAACTTTTGTAAAATAAAAAAAAATCATTGCCAAACAAAAAATAAAATTTTATTTTTATTACAAATTTATTTAAAAATCATTTAAAATTCATTAGTTTATATTCACTTAAATTTTGTTTATATTAGTTTATTATTCGATAATAATAATAACAAAATCATATTTTATTTTAATTCTAATTTTATTATCATAATACTTTCATTCTTTCAACCTATTTTCTTACTCGTTGTAAATAAATTTACACTTTTAACTTACTTATTATTTATTTATTGTGTAAATTTATTTGATAATAATTTATTTGTTATTTATAAATATGTCCATTTATATATAATAATGAATATGATTGTTTAATATAAACGAATTCATTTAATTTTAACGAACTAAATATAAATATAACCTGAATATTTTATTATTAAATGAATTGAACTCAAATATAATAAATAATTTTTTTACTCAACACGATCAATTTCTAATAACTTTAAAAATAAATGAATAAACTATAAATATATATATTTATTTATTCATATTTGATTTGTTTTCATTCATGTTTTGTTATATATCTTTTCTAATAAAATTTTAAATTTAAACTTTTAATGAAATTAAAATTTTAAAATTTGACATTTAACATGTTTGATATTCAAAATTGGGGGCTTTGTAACTCCTTCTTACTTCTTTCTTTTTTATTATTTGTTTATTTTTTAAATAAAGAAAAAAGATTTTAATTTTAAATATTTATTTTTATTACTAAAAAAAAAAAATTGCGGGACAAGCTTATGGGTACGTTAGCCCAGGCCCTTTTAGCAGGCCGAAGAATGGGCCAACCCAGTAATGGAACAAACAAAACAAAAGTTGCATGGGAAGTACATTTTGGAACAAACACCAAATCCGTAACCAAAATCCAAAAAAACAGCAAATAATTTCAATTTTAAGTTTAATCTGGAAAAATAGAAAATTTTTCACGTAGTTGTTAAAAAAGTTACATTATAATTAAGAGGAGATGGAGGATGGAGGCTGGAGGTGGAATAGAAAAAGAAGAGGAACAAGATGGCGTTTCCGTACACTCCCCTTGCAAAGCTCCGCTTTCCTCCGCCTCCTCTGTCCCTAAGCTCTCTCTCTCTCTCTCTCTCTCTCTCTCTCTCTCTCTCTTCTTTTCTCTGTTTCATTAAAATTATTAATATTTTTGTTGATTTTATTGTATTTTTTGTTATTTTTTTTTTCAATTTAATAGGAGCAACAACAGGTAGAATGGGAGCTGAGGCTATTGCAGGCACTTGAAATAAAAAATAAAATTTTCTTTCACGAAGATTAACCTTGTTTTGGGCACATTCATAGTTCTGTCTGTACGCTACAAATGACCCATTAGTTGTTGTGCAGTAGTATATCGTTTCAGGCAGTAAACTGTATCTGAATATGAACCTGGTTTCTTGACGAGGTTTCAGCCACTTGTTTCCAATAGTTGTGTGTTAAATCAAAGAGAAAGCATCTAAAGGGTGCTTCATGGGACATGGAATTGGTCGTGTAGATTTCATGGAAGGGAAGCTCTTCCGGTGTTTGACATTCTATTTGATGAAATTCCACCAGCTTCGTATTTTCTTTGGTTTCGATGATGACATAGGTGTGATTCTGATATCTGAAAGTCAAATGACTAGGCAAAGCTATCTGGGATGACCCCACTGGCAGCTATAGCTAGCAAGTGGGTGAAGCAAAGAGTGCCACGTGTTTAAACTTTGTACATACAATCTATGATCATCGAATGTCTGTCGGCGTAGATGCGTGAGTAAGACAATCTATAAACATATGCAACGGCGGTGACCTTGGACACGAAAGTAAGCGTATATGAATGCGACCAGCTCACCAAATTCAACAGAAAAAGTGCTGGCCATGACCAATTATTCGCCTTATCCCGTTTCTATATATTGTAATATATATGTATCTAGCCAAAGTTTTAAACACCTTGGGTCCCTTTTACTTAAGAAATTCAGACCAAAATCAGCGGCAATTGACTCCGCAACAATAAGAAAATGAACAATATCGGATGTCAAATGAAGTACTCGAGTGCTTATTATGTAATCGATCTGAATGTCACTGCAAACGAAAAAAAAATGGTGGTTGGTCGTAAAGGTGTTTATGATTTATGTTGGATTAAGTTTGGATCAAATTTATATTTAATATTAATAATTTATATATTTATTTAAATTTGATTTGATTTAAAATTTTAAGTTTTAATTTTTTTTAAAAATTAATTTGAATAAAAATATAAATTATAAACTCACTCATTAAACTTAATTTATATAATATAAAATTTTAAAATACAATTAAATTTAATTTAATAGGATTATATTAAATTTACATATATATAAAAATAAAAAATAAAAAGTAAATTTAATAAAAATATATATAATATTTTTTTAATTTATATATATATGAATTAATTTAACAGCCAAACCTATACTTTAGAGATTATCTACCCAAGTAGAAGGTCGCGATCAAAACTCTATAAATAGAATTCTGTAACAGCAAGCCAAAAAAAAAGGAGATCCTGAGAGCTAGCCCAAATACCCTTAAAAAAAAAAAAACCCTAAAAAGGAGAGAAGAAATCCTAAAAGAAAAAGGGAGCTTTTGTAAATAAACAAAAAAAAACTACTAAAAAAAAACAAGAAACAAACATGAAAAAAAAAAAAAACACAATCTCTTTGGTGAGGAAACCAACGCTGGATTTAACAAAAAAAAACAAGATCCACAAAAACTTAAAAAAAAAAAAGATTTTTGGCCTAAAGCTAAAGAGTAAATCTAGGCCATTTGGACTTTTTTTGGTGAAAAGGATATTGAATTTGTAAAGAGGGAGGCGAGAAATGTGTTTTTGGTGTTTTTTGATCATCA